AAGCAGTTGCAACTCCTCCCAGCGTGGTATCATATGCAAACTTAATAATCATACTTTCTATGCAAAGATCTAAATCGTTGATGAAGATATTGAACAGAACCGGTCCCAAAACAGATTCCTGCGGACCCAACTTTTTATGCTTTTCCAGCAGGATTGTGAACTGTTAATGACTACTCTCTGAGAACGGTTATCCAGCCATTTATGCACCCACCCTATAATAGCCTTAAAGTAGTTTGCTTGCAAGAGGTGATGCTCACAAACATATCTGGATATTTTCAGAGGAAATTATTAAATATTAACCAATAGTAACTTAGATGTAGCAAAAAGGAAGCTTTTGAAGATCAAATTTGATTGTATGGGACCAAGTTAAAATCTGAGGAAGTAAGTGGAAACTTAAAAGCAATCTGGGCAAAAAGTGGATACAAAACTATGTACAAAAAGGCTCTAATTCAAATCAGAAAGTTAAGAAGCTGGCTTTCTCTGAAATTAGTTTTCATTTTGTTTCTGAGAGTGTCAGTGTCTTTCCTCAAGAAGCAAGATGGTGTATCTAACTTCCAGGTGCCATTAATACTTCAGATATTTCACTGTAAGTTATGGGGATTCCTGTGAATGTTATATAATGGGAAATTTAACTTTAGGCCTAGATTTTTTTTCTCATGCAAGAATATACCTCTTCTAACTTTTTTCTCTTCCTTTTTTTTAGTTTCAGCTCAGATTTTGAATTTGTATCTGCTGAATTCATTTATCTTTCAATAGATTTTGCAAATATCCAAACCAAGTTATAAATCTCTGATGCTGATGTTTACTAGAATCTGTAATACACAATGATGCTTTACACTAATGATGTGTACAGTTCATTTGCTATAATCATATTTTGTATCTTATTCCCATAGATTAAAATAAATTAAATATTAATACATTTTGTATAATCAACCCATCATTTTTAGAGGATTTTTCTAATTTTCTGCACTTTAATCTAGTGTTACATGGATCCTTAATAAGGCTTTTCTTTGTCATTGATTTCTTCTAGCTGTAATGAACTTTGGTCTTAAATTCACCCATTTTACATATGCTACCATCTTTTACAACTCCATAATATGATTGGAGAACAAATTACTCTTATTGTCTAGGATTTTCAGTGTTCTTTCATTGTGGCAAAATGATTTTGTCAGACAAAAGTAGTCGTCAGAGACCCAGATGATTTAGTCTTGCCTCTTTCCAACTACCGTTGTGAACTACTAATGTTATCATATTAAGGAATAGGTGCTACATGGATTGCTAAAGCAGGGCTCTGTATTACTCTTCAGCAACTTTGGCCTGCTGTTCAAGGAATGTTTTGGTTATTTTGTCATTGGTATCTTCCTAGTGGGAGGATAAGTGCAAGGGTAGAGGGTCTAAAATGGAGGTCTTATGGAGTCAGGGTAGTTAATTGAACCTTCAGACAAAAGAGGCAAAGGTACTGAAATTAAGTGCTAGGGAAGGAAAGAGAGATTCTTCTTCACAATCTCCCTGAAGAAAACAGATGACCTGTACTAGAAGGACAGACTGATCTCACTGCATCAATCAAGCTTGTAAACCCCAGCATGGACAATGCTAGTACGATAAAAGAATTCTTCCATTGACCGCCACTGAAAGATGGCTTTACTGTAGTAACTGAAGAAACCCTTCCATCACTGTGAGGATCTATACCACAGCAGTGTAGCTGGGCCATTATAATGTATCTAATGTAGGCATACCCTCACACTTTCAAACTCTCCCAAAGTCTCCCTTTGAACTTTGTCTGTACATTAAAGCCGCAATTTAATTTTAGTCTTTTTATTCACCACCATATGTGACTGAAGAATAAAGTAGGTTTACATAATTCATCTTCCTCTTTGTCAGATTCTGTAAAACCTTCCTAGCTTTGGAGACACACAAACTTTCAAGTTCAGACTAGAACATCTGTGCTTCAAACTTCCTGCTTCGAGAAGCCCACGTTATTTGATATTTGTGGGCTCGTGGGGCAATATTCAAAACCAAAAGTGCAAAAAAAAATCAAAATTAGCATTTCCTTCTTTTTCACTAACCACAGTTTTTATGCTTCCTTCAAGTGCATTGTTGTGAGATGAATATCACTTATGGCTATGGAAATGAAGCTGTGTTGTGGAACAGTGCCTACATAGCAGTGGAGATGTCTGTCCCTTCAGTTGTGTACAGTGCTGGAAAACAGTACACACAAACAGCTCTAGGCTCTGATTCTGGACTCTTGTGCACATCAATCATTCTGTGGGTGGCACTAGTCATAGATAGGACCCTGTTTAGGACACTTCTGCAATTCTGTAGACAAAAATTTGGCTGAGGAATTTGACTGTTGCTGCAGAATTGTGCTTCACAATCTTCCCTTTCATTTGTAATTTTGTGCTTAGCCCTTCTGGTCATGTTACAAATGTCAGAAACATGAACTGAATGGTAATTAAAGCAGTGTGCCTGTTTGAGTCTATAAAAAGGCTGAAACATTAACTCGGGGGCTACATCTATACTACGATCCTCTTCCACAAGAGGAAATGCAAATAGAGCGCTCATTTGTGTATGTCATACTCTCATTTGCATTTCTTCCTCCAGGTCCCTTTTGCACAAGAGATTTTTGCGCAAAAAATCCCTTTTGCGCAAGAGTCATTCTTCGTCATTTTCCTCTTTTGGCTCAGTGATTCTGTAGCCATAAGAACTTAGAATATTTCCATAGAATTATCCATTTTTCTGCAACCATATGCCTGATAACTTTGTTCTTTCTCCCTGTTCTTCTGGATTTTTCTTGAAACTTCTTCTCCACAGCTTTCCCTTCAAGAGGCAGTTAATTGGCTCATTTCAGATTCCTGCTTCAATAAGGGTCATTGTGATAATCTAGTTAAATCTCCTGTAAAATAGAGACCATAGAACTTTTCCCAAAATAATTCCTAGAGCATATTTTCTACAATAAACATTTTGTCTTGATTTTTAAAAACAGCCAGTGATGGAGAATCCACCAGGACCCCGATGAACTGTTCCAATGGATAATTGCTCTCGTCATTAATTTATTCCTTATTTTGAGGTTTGGTGGATGCTGCTTTCTCTGTGACAGGAAGCCATCCTATTGTTGAAACACTGACAGACATTAAAAATTCAGACCGTGAGATGGGAAAGCCAGAAATACAAGTTCATGAGCTAGACAGCGTACAGAAAATCACAATTGCCAAGGACTCTGGAGCCAGGGACATGAGCTGTTGCAACTAGAGCATTCCCCTTTCCTGGCTACACAGGAGGGGAAAGTTATTTTGTCCTGACTTCCTAGAAAACATTGGGCAAAGTCTAGGCTCATAGTGTGCTGTGTTTTCGTGGCACTCTCCAGGTGGACTAACCATTACAAAAAATAATAAAAAACGTTATTTCAATATTTAAAGCAGTGTGTGTTTTGAAGGTGTAAAGATGTGGGCATGCAGGATGTTGTATGATGCTACAACAAAATTAATATTGCTGCAGAACATGAATTTCTGATGCACAATTTGCTGCAGAGTATATAAAGTCTGCTTAAGACTTTACAGGATACTGGCTGTAGTGTCTCAGACAAATTACTGCGTTAATAGCAGAACATAAGCTCTTTTTAACCTGAACCTCTTAGCTAGAATAGATATTTTCATCCTTTAGGTAAATGGTTCTATTTAATTCTTTTGAACGGGATGTGCTAGCATGAGGTAGATGGGTAGAAATTGCCTTGATCAACTTCTTCCATTCCTTCTTGGAATGAAGGAATGGAGTGCTAATCCCAAGAGGGCTCCACACTTTCTTTTATATCTATCTCTATCTCTATATCATATATGGCAGAGCTGAGAGCTATAAAAAGACTAGTATTTTAGAGACATTGAAAAGACCTGCATTAGGGGAAGGATGCTGTAACACCTTGCAGAGGAAAGAAGGCGCCTAATCTTCCCTGAGCAATTGGGCGGTTGTAGAGAAGAGTGAATGGTGCCTTCTTCCCAGGTGTCTGAAATCCTTTGAATAGCTGCAGGAACTCACACAAAGGATGAGAGATTTATGTGAGGGGAAATAGATTGAGAATACCTGGCCTGGAGCTGAATTTGTTTCAGGTTGAATTAGGAAGTGTAGTGTTCCAGTGTCTGTTACAATTTCTTGGGGCATTCTGTCAAGTTTTCTAAAGGCATAATATATTCCTTTAGAAAATTCAAATAGCAAGGACAATGCATTGAACTAATAAGGAATGCTCTTTATGGAGTATACGTACCTTCATCTGTCTACTAACGGCCAATTCCCTTATAATGAATGGTGTTTGCCTCTCTCTTGCTTCAATGTTTGTAACATTGTGGTAATGTATTGTGGAGATATCTGCAAACTATTCTTAGGGATAATAATTTTTTATCTTGTCAAGGACTTGGAATATTTCTCACTCTAACACATTTGCAAAATGATGCAACTAAATTTTTCTCTAGGACAAAAAGGGGGTCTGAAATTTAACCCTGATTTCAGGGTCACTTCATGCATACTTTAATTTGTAGTCAATACTCAAAGTGTGCATGTTTGGGTTTGTGTGTGGCAGAGAGAGAGGATCAGTGTGTATAAATGGTGATATATTCCCTCACTCCCAAATGATAGCATATTTCTGTCACTTCTAAACTTAAGTTGTTTCCTTTCCAGAGGTTTTTGAAAGGCAGGAGTTACTGTAGGGAGCTATGCAAGGACTTAGGCTTTATATTCTGTATGGTGGTATTCATTGCTTTCTCTAAATGTCTGATGGATCTTTGAAGATTTAACCTTCTTTACTTACTGAAAACTTTGTTCAGTGTCTTTCATGCTGTTGTAATTAGATGCTCTCACTATTCTGAGGCATCTGTATAATTTTCCATTTTTGAAGTGTGTATTTTCACCTATTTAACGTTTAAACTTTGATATAACGTTGACTATGGAATAGCATGTCAACGGAAGAAAAAGCTGGATTCAGGTGGGAAATACATATGCAATATTTGTTTCAGATGTTCCTAGGTTCCAGCACATATCCTGAAATTCATGGTTATTTGCATGCAAAAGAGCCAGGGAAGAAATCATGGAAAAAATTATACTTTCTTTTGAGAAGATCTGGCCTGTATTTTTCCACTAAAGGGACATCAAAGGTAAGACTAGAATATGATAGAGAACAGTAAGCATAGGACAAGCATGTATTTTCATTTGCAGTACTTTTAACTAATTTTATTTCAGTCCATGGTAATGAAAATGGAAACTTGGGATCAAGGTGGGTTTTTTGTCCTTTTTTGTCCATTCTAAGGATAAAACATGTGATTGGTGGGAATAAGGATATGTAATGAAAGGGGTTCAGAATAATTTCTTGTATAAACCAAAGTATTGTGGTCTAACAAGTCTGATTCATTCTGAATATATGAATTTAAATTTATTTTCCAGTCAGTCAACACGAGCTCTTTAAAAAGAAATTATGCTTTTCAGATCCACTGGTTGAGAATTCTGATGGGTGGGAACATAATCAAATCTTAGCTGTTGTTCCTGAATGTACCACTTGGATCAGTCTTTCAGAGCATTTATTTATTTTTAACCAAATAAGAGGAGCAAATTTGCAGGGGAAAAAAAGGTAAATTTGTAGGAAAACTTTTTTTACTATCACCATGTATCAATGACTCCTTATATTTTCTTTGTTCAATTTTTGTCCATACTGAAAGTATAACTAATGACACCTGTCTTAAACAGGGTGCACTGGAGATGAGAACTTTTATGTAATCCACTTTTAAAAAAAAAAATTTTGTTTGTCTGAACTAGTGTTAGTTGTCAACATATTTCCACAGCTGTACTCATTTAATTGAGGACAGACAAGTAAATAAAAGAAATTTTACTGCTATGACCTTGAGGAATGGAATTAATATTTAGTTTGTGACTGGACATTAATTATTAAAATTTATTTTCTTACTTCTGATGATGTGATTTAAACAATGGAATTTAAAATAAATTGCAAAATGACTTCAAAAGTTGTTACTTTTTAAGACTTAATTAATCATTAAGCATCGTGGCTTAGATATCATGTATGTGTTGCTAGAAATCTGCTCATTGGTGCATCATATTTTTCTTCACAGAAAACAAAGGTGGGGTTTTTTTTTTTGGCTTTGTCTAGTTTGGGGCATTTTGCTCTGATGCAGCAGGTGGAATGTTCAGTGGCCTTTTTGTTTGTTTCTTCAGTTACTTCATCTTCTACTATCACAATATCAGGAAGGCTGCTATTTGGAAGAAGAAAACTACACTCATCTGATGCTCTTATTTGTATTTTTTTCTTAAAGCTGTCTGCCTAAGAAGGAAAGTGTTTCCCTGAAAGTGTTCTGTGTAATTTACTCTTGTTAATTTTTATAAACTCATGAAAACAGCGAATATGGTATTTTTGTTTACAAGAGGAATGCTATTATTGTGTTTTAGGACACATGCAAAGAATGTCATTTAAAACAGCTATACAGTGTGTTCCCTTCCATCCCGTTTGTTTTGGGAGGAGCTGCTTATTCCTTTCAGCAAATAAAAACAATTCCTCTACCTGATCTCTTCACAAGGCAATGCTGGTTGACGAGCTAATCATCGTGTTATGCAGTCAAGGTTACATTTTAAAGTAGATTATAAATTCCTGCTTCTCTAAAAGTAGGTGGCCGATTGGTGTGACATTTCACACCAGGTTAGTTTTATACCCTTTTAATTTTCTGTGTAGTTTGGTTTTTGTTTCTCCTCATGCATTTTTAATAGGGTTTAGGCTCCGCCTGAATATTTTTCCTGTGAGGTGTGTTTCACTAAATTATATATCAAAAAATTATTAACACAAAGCTTGTTTGGAAGTAGGGTTTTATCTCTTAAAGTGCAACAGGGAAGCTTTTAAAAAATGTGAGGCCATTTTTAGCCATTGTTCACATTATATATGAAAATTTATGCACTCTGCACAAACCTTATTGATGAATGCCAGGTGCAAATTAACCTGATTAATAGGATTAGGTGCATGCAGATCTGATTGGACCAAATGCATATAAGGCTCATAAATTGAAAGAATGTAACTTGATTGATGGGACAAGTTGTGGATGCATGTAAAATCATCTCTAGGGGTAGATGTCAAATTTTATCATATAACAGTAGTCCTGCCAACAGGTAAAATATTATTTTGCCACACTTGAAACCATTGCTTTACCTTTACTTCGCCCTCAGTAGAGATGCATGCCTTCTGCCCTCTCACCCTGAACATTTTTTTTAAACCAAACTCCCTTTTTCCCACACAACCAACTATTTAGTATTGTTTTTAAGAGGGGGAGTAGATAAGCTGGTAAAGGCATGTGTGCAGAATAGTTAATGTAAGGGCAGCATTAAGATTGAAGTGCATTGTTTGTGATAGTAGTAAGGTATGTGCTTGAGATGGAAGCTCAGAGAATATGTACTGCTAGATAGCTTGATTTTAATCTTAATTTTTTGAGTTTCAGTCCTTGCGTGTGTATAGCAATTCTAACTGCTACACACCAAACAGCTTCAGATTGAAATAGTATTAAAAATTTATCTTCTATCTGTGCTGGATGATCAGGTTAGCCTAGCTATTGTGGTATGTGCATTACATGGTAATATGATAACTAGATAGGAATTTTTCCTCGATTTTTTTTTTTTAAAAATGTCATGTATTTCCAAGTGCTGTATTTATCATAAATAGTTTACAGTGTGTGTATATATGCATATTCTGTTTTTTCATCCACATCCTTATTATAATTTCATTCATCAGTTTATAATAAAGTAACAGGCCTAATTGTGTTATATTACTTTTCCTTTCAGGAACCAAGGCATCTGCAGTTTTTCAGTGAATTCAGCAGTAGTGATATGTATATGTCTTTGGCAGGCAAAAAGATGTCTGGAACACCAACAAACTATGGATTCTGTTTTAAGGTACAGGCTTAATATTTTGATAGAAATATGCTAAAGAAAGCCACAGTTTTTAGGTAAGCTTAAGTTTCTTTAAGATTTAAAAAAAAGATTCAGTTATCTCTTGTAAAATAGGAGAATTAGTGGCTTTTATTTCAACAGGTGTTATCTGCAAGATATGCATTAATGCTAAACAATGTGCTGTGGCTTTCTAGCCCAACAAAGCAGGAGGAATCAGAGATCTGAAGCAGCTTTGTGCAGATGATGAGCAGAGCAGGACCTGCTGGATGACAGCAATTAGATTACTTAAGGTAAAATCTGTGAAGTTTAATTACTTGCCAGCATTTTACTATGTTAAATGCTTTTTATGTCCTAGAATATAGAACCACAGGTTACTGATAAATTTCAGTGTAATAACAAGCCTTCATTTTGTACACGGTGGAGTCTTTTTGACATCTTCCAAAAAGAAGATAGACATTGAATTTCCAGTAAAATACAAAAAGATGGCGTTCTGCTCTTTAAGAGCACTAAAGACTTGCAAACACGTATGCAGTATATAACATTAAGCACATGAGAAGTCCTCTTTGAATTCAGTGAGGCTATAAAAATGAGTAATGTTAAGTTCATGTATCAGCGTTTGCAGGACCGAGACCTTAAAATGTATTTGAGATATGTCACTCAGGTGTTAAATCTTTCCTACAAATTGTGTTTAATTCTTTTAGCCAATTTTATTTTATGGTACTGTACTTTTAGTGTACTAATTATATACTATCAAACTCTTCAACAGAGTACTTGATGCAATTAAAGAACATGTTCTAGTCCCTAAAATAGACTTATAATAAATCCATTATGCAATTTGAGCTACAGTTGCTACTGGTGTTGCCCCCAATTATGATGGTAGAACATAGTTGACTAGTTGGAGGGGTTAGTTTTAGTAACAAAGCAGGCAGAATGGGTCATATGGTGCCTATAAATGGCGAGAATTGACATACATGTACAGTACAGGCAGTCCCCGGGTTACATGGATCCGACTTACATCAGATCCCTACTTACAAACGGGGTGAGGCAACCCCGCACTAGCTGCTTCCCCCCAGCAGACCAGGGAGACATGAAGCTAGCGGCCCTCCCCCCAGCAGACCAGGGAGATGCGGAGCAGCTTTTCTCAGCAGACACCTCAGCTTGAGAATAAAGGACTGAGGGAAGGGAGGTGTGGGAGAATAAAACTGAGCTCTGGAGAAATGTTTGGCTAGAGTTTCCCCTACAATATGTACCAGTTCCGACTTACATACAAATTCAACTTAAGAACAAACCTACAGTCCCTATCTTGTACGTAACCCGGGGACTGCCTGTATAAGTTATTTCTTAAGAAAATGAAAATCTTAGCCATTTACTCCCTCTGGCTAACTTCTTGTTTTGTTATTTTTGAGGGAGAAAAATTTAATATTCCAGTTTTATATTTAGAAAATTCTCTTCAAATGTAGAGTAAGAAAACAATAATTAAAATATATATCTTTAAGGCAAAGATTCCTATTTTTTGTGCAGGCTGTTATATTATAATTAATATAATTAAGCTAATAAGAAAAAAAATTTCTAAATAAAATCCGTTGTATAGTATTTTGGAGCTCCTGTGTAGTTATATTTATTTAATGCTTCAAGTTGGTACTATTGAAATCCCTACAATAAACAAATTGTGAACAGGTATATTATTTTTTATTTTAGTATGGAATGCAGCTGTATCAGAATTACATGCAACCATATCAAGGTAGAGGTGGCTGCAGTTCTTTGACTATGTCACCCATGGTATGTACTGTAATAACTTACTGAGCAAATAAACTACCTAAAATAGAACCTGTGGCAGAAGTAATATAACCTGTGTTTGTGATCCTAGAAATGTTAGTGTACTTTAAATTTAAGCATGTGAGCACTTATTTAAAATCTTCAAGTACAGTGGTCAGCTTCCCTTAATGACACTGTAGATGGAGCCATTACTGATTCCCTGGCATGCATCCAGTTTCCATGTGTGACCTTTTCTGTGCCAAGTGGCTCTTGGTGCAGGAGTGACACTAGCCAGGAGTGACACTAGCCATGGTAAGGTCCCATGGGAAGCAAGACTGAAGGGAAAAACAACTGAGGAGAGTTGGAAGTATTTCAAAGGGACGTTGTTAAGGGCCCAAAAGCAAACAATTCCGTTGTGTAGGAAAGATAGAAAATATGGCAAAAGACCAGCTTGGCTTAACAAGGAGATCTTGCATGATCTCAAAATAAAAAAGGAGTCATATAAAAAATGGAAACTAGGACAACTAACAAAGGAGGAATATAGGCAAGCAACACGGGAATGCAGGGGCAAGATTAGAAAGGCAAAGCCACAAAATGAGATCAAACTAGCTACAGGCATAAAGGGAAACAAGAAGACCTTTTATAAATACATTAAAAGCAAGAGGAAGACCAAGGACAGGGTAGGCCCACTGCTTAGCGAGGAGGGAGAAGCAGTAACAGGGAACTTGGAAATGGCGGAGATGCTCAATGACTTCTTTGTTTCGGTCTTCACCGAGAAGTCTGGAGGTGTGCCTAACGTAGTGAATACAAGCAGAGAGAGGGTAAGTTTAGAAGATAGGATACACAAAGAACAAGTTAAAAATCACTTAGGAAAGTTAGATGTCAGCAAGTCACCAGGTCCTGATGAAATGCATCCCAGGATACTCAAGGAGCTGATAGAGGAGGTATCTGAGCCTTTAGCTATGATCTTTGAAAAATCATGGCAGACAGGGGAGATTCCAGAAGACTGGAAAAGGGCAAATATTGTGCCCATCTATAAAAAGGGGAATAAGAACAACCCAGGAAACTACAGACCGGTCAGTTTAACGTCTGTCCCAGGGAAGATAATGGAGCAGGTAATTAAGGAAATCATATGCAAACACTTGGAAGGTAATAAAGTGATAGGGAATAGCCAGCATGGGTTTGTGAAGAACAAGTCATGCCAAACTAATCTGATAGCTTTCTTTGATAAGATAACGAGCCTTGTGGATAAGGGAGAAGCGGTGGATGTCATATACCTAGACTTTAGTAAGGCATTTGATACGGTCTCGCATGATATTCTTATTGATAAACTAGGCAAATATAACTTAGATAGGGCCACGATAAGGTGGGTGCATAATTGGCTGGATAACCGTAGTCAGAGAGTTGTTGTTAACGGTTCTAAATCCTGCTGGAAAGGGATAACAAGTGGAGTTCCGCAAGGGTCTGTTTTGGGACCCGTACTATTCAATATCTTCATCAATGATGTAGATATTGGGATAGAGAGTACGCTTATTAAGTTTGCAGATGATACCAAACTGGGTGGGGTTGCAACTTCTTTGGAGGATAGGGACATAATTCAAAATGACCTTAGCAAGTTAGAGAAATGGTCAGAGGTAAACAGGATGAGGTTTAATAAAGAGAAATGCAAAGTGCTCCACTTAGGAAGGAACAATCAGTTCCATACATACAAGATGGGAAGCGACTGTCTAGGAAGGAGCATGGCAGAAAGGGATCTAGGGGTCATAGTGGACCACAAGTTGAATATGAGTCAACAGTGTGATGCTGTTGCAAAAAAAGCAAATATGATTCTAGGTTGTATCAACAGGTGTGTTGTAAGCAAAACTCGTGAAGTCATTCTGCCGCTCTACTCTGCACTAGTTAGGCCTCAGCTGGAGTACTGTGTCCAGTTCTGGGCGCCACATTTCAAGAAAGATGTGGAGAAATTGGAAAGGGTACAGAGAAGAGCAACAAGAATGATTAAAGGTTTAGAGAACATGACCTATGAAGCCAGGCTTCATGAACTGGGCTTGTTTAGTTTGGAAAAAAGAAGATTAAGGGGGGACATGATAGCGGTTTTCAAATATCTAAAAGGGTGTCACAAGGAGGAAGGAGAAAATTTGTTCCTCTTGGTTTCTGAGGACAGGACAAGGAGTAATGGGCTTAAAGTGCAGCAGGGGAGGTTTAGATTGGACATTAGGAAAAAATTCCTAACTGTCAGGGTGGTCAAATATTGGAATAAATTGCCAAGGGAGGTGGTGGAATCTCCCTCTCTGGAGATATTTAAGAACAGGTTAGATAGACATCTGTCAGGGATGGTGTAGACGGAGCTTGATCCTGCCTTGAGGGCGGGGGGCTGGACTCGATGACCTCTCGAGGTCCCTTCCAGTCCTATTATTCTATGATTCTATGATTCTAGCCTTGTATTTGCACCATGCTCCAGCTAAGAGGAATATTAAGAATTCATCACTACAGCTTCTTTATGCAAATCACTCCAGCAGCACTCTTGGAAAAGGGCTAATATAAACGATCAAACTTTGAGACTGAATATTCTCAATATCGGATGCAGTTACTTTCTCACACCCCTCAATCAGAATTCACAACCAGCAATTCCAGGGCCGGCCCACAACATTTTGGCACCTGAGGCGGAGAGCTCAAATGATGCCCCCAGCCCCCTCGCTTGGGCCAAAACTTTGAAAGGTCTCAATTCTGCCTTTTTCCTGTTCTACTCCTCTCAAGGCACTCCACCATCTCTGTGCATCTAGAGCAGAGAGAATACATATGCACCAGCAGCAGACACAATTGTCTACACTATGGGTCCTAGTGGTGCCCCCTCCCCTCACAATATGGCACCTGAGGTGGCTGCCTCAGTTCGCCTCATGGTAAGGCCAGCGCTGAGCAATTCAGGTCCCATTCTCTGAACCCTAGAGGCAAACATCACCTTTTATTCTGTTCTTGTTTGTATCTTTGTTAAAGTTTCAGCAAATGATAATTCATCAGACCAATCTTCAGCTCAGGACATGGTCCCTGGATTTGAAGTCCTTCAGTTGTGATGTCTGCTGAAGTCATTACAATTAGATGTTTTTTTATAGGAGTAAGATGTCCTAATCCACATTATTGAAACCTCTTCTATTTCCATTTATTTGAGTTCTAATGCAATCTTTCTATGGTTATAATCGAGTGGGAACTTTTTAAGGCCAGAGATTTTGGTTAAGGAGCTTTAACTGCAGAGGCATGTCTTTTAGGCTTTCCATGTTGCTTCAAATTATAGAAGGGTAGGGGTTTTTCTATTAATTCATATCCCAGGCCATACTGATTGCTTGATGTAGAGCTTGTGTATTTACTATCATGCTCAATTTATAAACGCGAGTGCCTCAGAAATAAGTGTTTTGTGCTCATTTTAATTCTTTGTTTATGAATCCAAGTTCACTCAATACCATGAAACATTAATGGTACTTGTGAATCTGACTGTCAGGAATACTTTATATAAGAACTTGCATATGCTGTTTTTATGCTCCTCCTTAGCAGCCAGAAGTTTAACATTAAAGTAGAACTTAAAATCTACTAAGAGATGCAAACTAACATTAATCAGCTGCTCTGAGCTATCCCGCAGAAATTTTTATTGGAAGTTTGGGCTGTGAGGTGAAGCCTAGTGTGTATTCATGCATACTTCAAATATTTAACAATTTTGGTTGAATTTAAATGGGGGAGGGGGAGAGAGAGAAACAAAGTAGAGTATAAAAATCTTCCTTCAGGAGTGTGAAGTGTGAAGTGTATTTCAGTTTTTGCCTGGTTTTAGTGGTGTTATAAAGGGCTTTTGAACACAAAGGAAGATGCTGAAGCCAATCCATAACAAAATATGATTGTTATTGGTATCCTCTATTCCAGAACTACTTGGTGGCTCTGAAAAATAAGGGTCTTTGAGCTCTAGCAGAAAAATCCTTGTCTAAACATGGTTAACTTTGGCTTGTAAAGGTTGGCTATACTATAGCAGAGCATTTGGGCATAGATGAGTTCATGCCAATGTGTGGCATTTAATAGGCTTTCCTACTAGTGTAGGTAGGTGGGCTTCCTGATTGGAATAATCTCTCTTCCTCCCCTTACCTCATCTCAGCCTGCTCATCACAAGGAACTGACTTCAGTGAGGTGAGTAGCACTGTTATGTTTAGAAGAGGTCTGCATTGTCAGTGCCAAATCATACTAAGCAGTGTATATGTAGCAGTTTTGAAAAGCCATAATAGTAGGTAGCCTCATCATATACCTGCTCTTAAATTTAGATGGGACATTTGAATTGCTATATTTTCACAAAAGCACACTGTAGCAGTCACATCAAGGTATGATTTAGCCATCATAAAGGTTGTTTTGTTGGCTGTGTTTTTTTTTTCTTGGTTTGCAGTTTCCTTTCCTTATCTTTTCTTTAACAACTCTATTCAGTGTGACGATTGAAAAGGAAATTGCATCCTTGTCTGACTTCCCCTCTCTCTTAGTGTATCAGAGTCACAGAGCAGTGATGGAATATTATAAAATTGTCTTTCAAATATTTAGTCCTTTGGAAGTGGTTCACTCATTTTGTAAGAGCATTTGAGTTTCAGGGAAGGTGGCATTTCTTCTCAGCATGTGTAAGTGCAAATATTTTGTTAGGATCTAATTTAATAACATTGGTGACTGTGGTTCAGACCTATGTTGCTTTTTGATAGGTGGAGACTATAATTTAAAGTAAGCAAAGCACAAGTTTGTATCAAATGACTCATGCCAGCCCTTTTAATCAGCCATAAATAACAGGCCTAGAGAGTTTAATTCCATAATTTCAGCTAGAGCTGATGAGGACTAGTCTTTGGGGGTATGTCTACACTACCCCGCTAGTTCGAACTAGCGGGGTAATGTATTCAATTACTCTGCTTCTATGTCCAGAGAAATCCATTGCTACCAAGGAATTTTCTGAAATGCTTCTCTGGGGGGGAAAAAGAGGGGAGAGGGATAATTCAGTTTGGGGGGGGGAAGGTTAGGAGGTTTCTAAACGTTATTTTCTAATAACATTTTGCCAGTTGTGTTTCAAATTTTTGCAACTTTTTTCCCCTGAACCAAGTTTTCTTTCACTTTGGACAACATTTGTAGTTCTAGTTGTCTTCGAGGGAGATTATCCAGCTGAACCCAAAGGCTTGCCAGTCAATGAGATAAGTGTGGAAGGAAGGAGAAAGCATCTTGTTTTTTGCATCACTGCAGCCAATAATACCCAGTCTGAAGATACTTAAGCTACCAGGGTATGTCTACACTACCCTCCTAGTTCGAACTAGGAGGGTAGTGTAGACATACCCTGGTAGCTTAAGTATCTTCAGACTGGGTATTATTGGCTGCAGTGATGCAAAAAACAAGATGCTTTCTCCTTCCTTCCACACTTATCTCATTGACTGGCAAGCCTTTGGGTTCAGCTGGATAATCTCCCTCGAAGACAACTAGAACTACAAATGTTGTCCAAAGTGAAAGAAAACTTGGTTCAGGGGAAAAAAGTTGCAAAAATTTGAAACACAACTGGCAAAATGTTATTAGAAAATAACGTTTAGAAACCTCCTAACCTTCCCCCCCCCAAACTGAATTATCCCTCTCCCCTCTTTTTCCCCCCCAGAGAAGCATTTCAGAAAATTCCTTGGTAGCAATGGATTTCTCTGGACATAGAAGCAGAGTAATTGAAAATCCAACAGAAGCTCTTTCAGTTGCAGTTGAAGAAGGGTTAGCATGGCGGGTATAAATACTTTACTTTTTCCACGTATTTTTTTTCTAATTTTATTCCCCCACGCAAACCTTTGACACTTTTTGTTTTTAAACTCTCCCACACAGAAAAAAGGCTGTTTACGTCTCAACACACATGGAAGTCCTACCACTTCTCAAAGTGCCACATCAGGTGTAGGTATGTGTGAGCTAATTTATAGTCCCAGAAGAGATGCAACAATCTTTGATAAAACAGTATTGTTAGAATAAAGATCTTTTTAAATTTTCTAGCTATTCATAGAACTCAGCTGTGGTTTCACCATAAAATCTCTAGGCATGAAGCTCAACGACTTATTTTACAGCAAGGACTTGTAGATGGGTAAGCTAGTTCCTTTTTAAACTTTTCTAGGTTGTAGTTAGTGATGGTCAGAAAATAACTATGCAGAAACATATTTGCTTACTCAAGGGTTTATGTCATATCTACTTAATGGAAGTAAAATATAGACATTCAAATTACTAGAGTTATGGGAGAATGACTTAGATTGTATTAGACGTCTTTTTTTTTAACAATAAAATAGTGCTCCAAAGCTTTGATCCTACAGTTGAGTGGATGGACTGCTGCATTTGCCCAAAGCCATGTTAAAATCACTGGGCTCTGAATTGGGATGACAGTCTTCTCTACACTGTCAATTGTAAGATCAGGATCTAAAATTAGATTCCAACATCTCTTACTAATGATGAATCAGAAAACACTGTTGGTTTTCAAATCCAAGGTTGAGTTTCTTGCACTGGCAGTTGGAAAAATCCATTTAATTTGGAGCCTGAGAAGCAGTGGTCTGAAAGTAATTGAGAGAGAATGTTGAATTTCAGGATGAGTCATTTAGTCTTCTAATGATATATTTTAAAGATTTTAAATATTCTTCTCTGAAAAATTATTATTGTTTCTAAATATCTTCTCTTGACTTACTGTATTATGGTTGAATTTTGTGGTATATTTATTTTAAAGTCTAAGACTTCTTCAACCCCATAACGTACAGATAAGTTCCCCTCTCATTTTGGCCTCCTACTGGCCTTCCAGACAGGAACTCTTATTGTCCATCTTGCTGCTTATAAATTTTTCTAGAGCTCAAAGTAATGCTATTGGAATCCCCGTTCATAGCACTGATCTAACAGTTTATTATGTGTTAGAAAATGCCTGCACAAAAAGTGCTCTCACAACCAAAAATATTTTCCTGTCAGCTGCAAAACCAAGCTGAATCTGTCAGCTGAAAAACCAAGAGCTCTGTCCTCCTTGAATTCTGTTCACTGCAATGATATTGCAGCTGGCCTAATAAAAACAAGTAATATTTCTAGCAACGTGTCTAGCAAGTAACGTTCTGAGGTATGCTGATTTAAAGTTGAGCCACATTTTAGCAGACAGAACCAAATTTTTAAATGGAAAAAATAGAGAGATAATGGATTGGGGAGTGAAGAACCATACCATTTGTGCCAAGAAAGTGTATTCACTTGTCAAAGTTACATCCGTACAATGTTAGCATGTGATGATACCCTGGTGTCTGAAGGGAGATGTCACTGTCATTTGGTGTGAGGGATCTTGTTGAATAGACTCTCTAGAATTATTTGAAACTGGTCTACCTCAAATTTATGTACTGGCAGTTTGTGTTGACCACAGATGTATCTGCTCAAATTGTATACTAGACATTACTGATAGCTGGCACAGAAGACTTTCACAACTATTGATAATACAATATGTGACAAATGTTTCACATGGTTACTTCTCTTTACAAAAAGGAACTGCCACCATGAATTTAGAGCCTTTGTGAATAAGATGATGTTATCTGTATAGGTATGTCCACGTATCAGGCAAATGTCTATATTCCTTGTGCAGAGTCTTGATGGGTTTCAGTTCAAAGATAAGTGTTCCAGGCAATGAAACCCACTATGCAGATGAAAACAGATTATGGGCTTCCATTCTAAAGTGTGTCCTGATAAATAGTATTCATACTATTATGAAAGAGGGAAGTTAATAGTTTTAACAAGGGTTGTTATGTAAAGGAACTGCAGCAGGCGGATAATGGTGCCATCATGCGAAAAGTGTCCTGAACCTAATTACAGAGAACAAAAAATTTAAAGCATTTTTGAGACGCCTCGATGGTATAACTGTTTTCTCAGGGGGATGAAGAAAATACTAATGAGTCTCAGATCTAATCTCCAGCAGTTTTTTAAAAATCTGTATACTTTCTGGAAGGTTTGTCTGTGAGTACTGCATATATCAAGGCCATCTTTCTTCCTTAGATTTATTTCTTGTCCAGTTTAGGTGAAGTAATATATAACAAATTTTGAAAACATTTGGGGCTAAATCTTCATTTTATTTGGAATCCAACTTTACCTATTTTAAGCTTCCTGTGGAGTTTCAGGAATACAATACAAATGTAACTGGCATGCAACATTAGTTGTGTTGTTATATATAATGTATACTTTGGGATGTGATTTCATCTTGGATTTACTTAATATTATGCAATGATACTTGCTTTAAAGCAGAGCAGAAGCTATAGCAAGATTATGGTTCTGATATTAGACCCTTAGTGGCTATTTGGAGGCTTTTCATTTAATAAATGGCTGACAGTCAGCATGTACAACTACAAGGTTTCTGATGCATGGGCAGCATATGTCATTAACAAAGTAGCAGTTCAGCATGCATCTGCTAAAGTGCAGGATTTTTTACAAATCAGAATTATTTGGGCTTTGACACCTAAAATCTATGAATGGATTGATGTTTTTAGATATAGGGTGGGTTTAATGGGGGAGAATGAAAGTTTTAGGACATATTTAAAAACACATTTTTGTTTGTGCATTCATTATATTAGCTCTAAAAGCTCCTAAAACATGTACCAAGATAGTTTAGTGTTAAAGGATTCCATCTTAAGGAAATAATCCACACTTGACACTAAAATGGGGTTAGAAAAGGGTTTAATTAATTTAAAAAATAACTAATAAAACAAAGGTTGGGGTCCAATAACAGAGACTAGGCTGCTGAAATGAGTAGGCCCTAAATGTCCCCTAAAATGAAATAATCAGTATGAATGCCAAGGCTGAGTCCTGGTTCTCCTTTCCAGCCTGTGCTCTTTTTAGTCTGATGTAATTACTCATAATATTGTTTAGTTTGGACCCTAAACCACTACAGCTAGGGGCCTTATTTTGGATGTAAGAATGAATTTTTTTCCAGGCCAATTTGTGCATCTTTAATGTTAGAGTTATAAATATCATGAGAGTTATGCATGGGATCTACCTGTACACAGAAAACTTTTTTGCACAGCCCACTAGATGGTATGGAAGACCTTGTTAGAAAAGTATATTCATTGCTCTATGGCTATCATTTAAACACACTTAGTTGTTATATCTACAGGCATCTGTGCATAGATTATATTTGTTTTCTTCCCCATGGACACATCTCCAAATAAGCTGAGCAAGAGAGTTCTGAGTTCATGCTGCTGAATTTTAGTTAATATAAAATTAATAGGGACCCCAAAATTGCGAACCCTAGCCAAACCCTCCTTTATGGTTACTAAACAGTACCTATATTTTGGTGATGGGAGAACTTCAAAAGGATTGAGGTTTATATTAATAAATATAGCAGATGGGAGAGCCATGAGTCAATAGAGGCCCCCTAAGCCTCTATTATCCCCTGTTTCCACACAACTTTCCTTACCATAAAACAGCCTGTCCTTCACATGTAATTCTCTACTATGGGTAGAAGGCACAGTTGCTCAATATCTTTACAACCTGCCAGAATGTGCATGGAAAGGATAGACAGGCTAGTTCTCATCCTAATGGTGACTACAAGAGGCAGCCACTCATTTTCTCCAGTCATGTGGCTTTCTTCTTGGATTCTTTCATTGTTTCTCTTAAAATTTTGGGTGATTATCCCCTCTATTCTCTTATTCATACTGTCCAGATTGTCTCCATTCCAACTGTTAGGAATTGCTTAGTTCTGTACCTATTTTCCTCTGCATGTATTTTAGCAGTAATGAAGCAGTAGAGGGCACAGCAATTTTCAGGTGCTATTCCATCCTATTGCCAATACTGCTGTACCTCCCACCCCCCAACAATCTATTCACCCCTCCGCAACCCCTGCTGCAAAACCCCTTCAGCTGCTCAGTCCTCAGGACAATGGCCGTTAGGAAAAACTAGTCTGGGATCGCTTTTCAATTTTAGAAGAGCCCAATAGTTGATAAGAATATTTTAATAGAGATCTGCAATATAAAAACTTGTAAGTTTGAGCATTTATTCCTAAGTGGGAAATTTTCCCGCTGTTATATATTTTAGTGTTTGTACTTTGTTACACAGGGATGAGCAACCACAACCTATGGGCTGGATCTAGCCTGCTAAGCCAAATTAGATTCAGCCCGTGGATGCAGCAGGAGCCTCACTCAAGCTTCCTGTCTGCCCTGCTCCTGCACACTGCTCAGGAAAGCCAGCTATGAGGACCTGTTTGTTTGTGAACAGCAGGAAGCCTGGATGGGGAGAAGAGGAAGAAGCTTCATGTGCTGCCCCTGCCACCAGCCAATCTCGCAGCTCCTATTTGGGAGCTGCTTATTTGAAAAATGGGTACCATGAAGTACCACTCCCTCCCTCTCTTCCTCCCTTACTTTAGGCTCACAGCTGTTCAGATGCACATGGCCCACAGCCAGCTGCACTTAGTAGTGTGCAGGGCACAGAAGGCAGGAAACCTGCTGGGCTGCTGTTTGGGAATCACCCAGGTAAGCTTCTCAACCAGAGCCTGCCTCTGGCACCCTAGCTCCTCCAAACACACCCATCCCTGTGCTCTGCTCCATATAACCCAAGCTCTCTGCTCCCCCTTCTGCACCCATACCCTCTCCCAGACAGTCCCCTGCCCCAGGTCACAGCCTCTTCCTGCCCAAGGTTACAGTCCAAATCCCCGTATTCCTTGCTGCACCCCAGTCTCCTGCCCCGGTCACACTTCCTTCCTTCACCCAGCCTCCTTCCCAGTTCCTACACCACATCTCTTACCCCAAGCTCCCCTTCTGTACCTAACCTTCATTCCAGATCCCACACCTCTTCCATTAATGTCGTGAAAAAGTGTAGACCTTGACCACTTACCAATTTCTTGGAGTGGCCCCCCCATCAAAAATTATTGCCCACCCTTATTGTTACAGCTGGCAAATCTATGCATACAATCTAGCCAGGTTCAAGTCTTGTACCATGTTTCCTATAAGCTTTCCATTGAACTATAAACTTTTCAAGCTATCTTACGCATATGCTCTTATGGCACATTAGCAATGTGGAGATTGGTAAGTCCTTAAGGGAGTTAGATGCCCAGATCTCATTGATTTTTTTTAAATGGGGAATAAGGTGCTTAGTTCCCTTAGCCTCCAATCGTGCTATTGGAGAAATTAAAGGAACAAGTATCAATGTATCAAGTGGACGTTTGAATATAGAAAATCTCCTTCTCTTTGAAGTACTTGTAGGCAAAATTGCCAGCTGTCAATCTACTAATAATTGATGCCTGTGGTTTCATCTGATGAAAATAAATAAGGTTTCACAAGTACAGTTCCAATCTTTCTATGTAAAAAATCATGGGCTGCCACTTCTTAGCATTCTACCCCTGTGTAATTTATGATTTTGCTCATTGTCAAGATCTTGGGCAAAACTTTACTAAAATTGCAAACTCTTCAACATGTTTTTGTGTCTGTAATAAAGAGATACTTTGTATGTTAATATTAAGGTGTATTTAAAATAAATGGCTGCTGTGTTTGTCATTGTGGAGAAGCGTATTTTTTCAGATGATAGAGACAGTATTTGAGGGATAATACATGGATGAAATAAAAGCTTGTATTTCCAATTATACTTTTTCAATATACACAAAGATTTAAAGTACAACTCTTGAAATTAAACTTAGTACAACATTGACTGAATTATTTGTGATCAGCAATAATGTGTTTGCAATTCATGATGGTATGCACTGGAAAGCTACAAAAAAATTCTAAAAATTCAACATAAGCTTATTTTGAAAATTTCTGTTCTCTCTCTCCCTAGAGTTTTCTTGGTACGGGATAGCCAAAGTAACCCCAAAACATTTGTCTTGTCAATGAGCCATGGATTAAAAATAAAGCACTTTCAAATTCTACCAGTAAGTAGCAACTTTGTATAAAGGCACAATAGCATGCCATGCTTCCAAAGATATTTCTCTGGTATATGAAAACTGGTAGATGTCGGTACTACAGTATTAGACACTGGAAAAGCTTGTCTCTGTCATGAATAGATATTACCCCATTCACCTTTTCTCTTTGATATCCTGGGACCAGCTCAGTTGCCACAACCCTGAGAGCCAGGATTAAACATTTATGGAACTTGCTGTTTGATTTGTTATAAGGTTTGGCACTATTGTTTGGGCTTTCAAGTGAGCTGTCCTAAGATGAGGGCAAGTCTGTTGTCCAAACTAAATATAAGCCTTTTATGGGATGGAAATATTTTAATTTTAAATGTCTCTCAGCCTCCTGTCCTCCTGCCTTGTTTTCTCAAATTTTGGTTAGATGGACCTGTGTAGGTTAGAACTCTTAGTCATGTTCACAGGCACACACCCTGTTCCTATAGCCATCACCCTAGAAAACTCCCTCTGTTGGAACAGCTTCCTTCCAGGGCCGCATTTCCTCTACACGTTGCCATGGTATTGCTATGTGCAAGGATAGGAGAGTATTTTCATTTTTTACTTAATGTAAGTTTCATTTTTTGGTTGCAATTGATATAATGGTTTTCAGATCAATTAATTTCAAAATTAATTCATTTTAAATTTCAAAAACCTCCATGGATTTACTGAAGAAAAGCCATATTCCCATTCATTTCTCAGTGAAAGCAATTACATAGCATATGATGCTCTTGTCAGTGACTGTGGGGTTATCCTGTCCATTCCACCGACCCTGGAGGTGGTATTAAAATTCTTCCACTTTCTTGCCAGCCTACTTTAAGTTGAAATACATTTTTGTTGCCTGCTTTAGCCCTAATGCTTTATCTAAGAGCGACTACTGCTACTTCACTTTCCACAAAGAACTTCCCTCCCAGACTGGTTTTTACCCAAAATTTCCTGGCCTGCTGCTGATTAATTTCCCCTGTTGGCTTTAACTATTCTGAAGGACTAGGCCCTTCCCCAAATGCATTTTCCCCTGACTCACTGGACACAGTTTTGCTCATTGGCTCCAGTGACAGATTTCAGAGAGCCACCATTTGGCATTTCTATGCTGTAACCAGCACCCTAGACACCTCCCTCTGTGCTGCACAACAGTAAATTTGATCTAGTGCTTGAAAACCAGCCTGTAACCCTTACTCATTGTGAACCATTAAGCCAAGAAGACCAGTGCCGGTTTTGCTCTGCTTAGACAGATGAGGTGGTAGTATATCTAGCCTGCACACTGTGTTTTCTATAATCAGGGCCACTGAGGGTTCACCTATATTTTTCAGTTGTTCCCTCTCCAGCCCTTAGATCAGACAATATATAGTTGAAGACAGCTTTTTGGATTCACTAGGAAAACTGAATGATTCACTCCTATCAGAAAGTCACTCCTTTCATTTGCCAACTTCAGAAACCACTTTTTCTTTCCTGTCCTCAGGAAACAGGCCCCGAGTTCTTTAACTTCTCCTGTGCAGGAAAATGTAGTTCCTCTTTAGAAAATCTCCATTCCCTTTGTCCCAGACATTCCCCTTCTCCTCTCAAAAAGCCAATTATTTCTCATACTCTTCTGAAGGTTGCTCTTCCATACAGAAGCACTGTACAAAAAATACAAGTAATATTCATCCTTAATGGTGGCAAAAAACATTCTCTCCTGCAATAGGATCCTTGGAGGAGGAAGAGGAAATATTTGCTTGGTAGCATTTGCAGTCAAGAATTAAGTCAGCTTTTCCATGGGATGATCTGGAAGGTCTCTGCACACTTATTCATACCATTTTGGAAATTGAGGAACTACATCAATTCAATACAAACAAGATTCTCTTAAACTACTTTGCCTTTTTCTCTTTTCCTTTTATCTTTTGCTACAGTTATGAGAAAAATAGCATAACTTAGAAAACAATTCAAGCCAGAAGGGGAAAGAGCACAGAAACAGAGCCAGATTAAAATAAAAGTAGCTCTGAAAGGGACAATGTTCTAAAATTCTCATGCCTTCCAAATAGTGATTTCAGTGAATGGAGTAGAGCCATTGAGACTTAGATTTTTTTTTTAAAGATGTTTTCTTTAAACACATGATTATTTAAATCCTTCACTAGTCGGAAGGATGGCATGCTCCACTCTTTTAAAATAGATGCCAGCTCCTTTCCAAATCTATTTTCTTAACAACTTTTTCTCTAATCAAATTCTGATGGTTCTAACATCTCCATTAAATGCTTTTAAAGAAGGATGGTATGCATTGGCAAATGTGGCCTAGTAATCCTAGACAATGGATACTTGTGCCTCCAAACTAATTCCTCACCTCTACTTTTCCCAGGGCTCAGGATAACAAACTTGTATTTGTGTAAAAATTGATTCCATCAACCAGGTTCCCACTGATCACTAACATCAGGAATTCTGCTTCAGGTGCTTCAGATCCCAAAGGATTAAAGATTTTTGCCAAGTTCTAGATGAGTGAAGCTTACATCGATCTATTGTTAATGTCTGCTTTTGCACAAGCACTCTAGGCTACCAGATCTAGAATTTCTGGTATTTAATAGATGGGGAGCAACGTTTCTGACTTCTCCAAAATTAGCAATTTATTTAGCAATTATTGTAGGGATTTTGTGGAATCAGAAATGTGTGTGATTGGGAAGGGGATCTAGTTGGAAAATGTTTGAATATTCCTTTTAAAAAAATTCTTCATTGCTGCATGTTCCACTTCCAATTTATGCTTTCAGTCTGAGCCATCACTACCAATTAATCACCAAATATACTGCTCTTCTAATGTCTAGAAAGCTAATTACTGTTCAAGTAGAGAGAAGAAGGCTATAATTATATCGGTTCTCAGACAATCCTCTTCTAATAAAAGCTTGATCATTCAGAATAATAACCTTGCAAACATGCACAACATGTCAGGTTCTTGGACAATATGGTTTCCTCATTAATGTGCTGAAGAACTGAGGTTCAGTTCAAGGTAGACAGATTTGGGGATAACAAAAACATTAAATTCAAACCTCTCATTAATAAATGCCTCAACTTTTCTGCATGTTTCAGCTCTGCAATATCTATTATGTTGGCATGATAATTGTATGCATGTGTTGAGTTGGATGGATAACAGTATATTTTCATATTTCTTGCTGGAAAATAGGAGTTTTTAGACCCATAGAATGACACATGTTAACACTTCCTTACTTAGTAGTGTTTGTCCTGGACTGATGAAATCTGAAAAAAAGAATTTAGAAGCTGCCTCCAGACTTAGAATGGGTAGGATAACCCAGTAGTTGTGGCCAATGCAACTGCTGCTTACACTGAGAAACCCTAATTACAGGTAAGAGAACAAATTTTGTTCCTTCCAGAAGGATGGTTGCATCTTTTCTCTATGCTGCAGTAACTGATGCTGCAATGCTGTCACCATTTTAGGGTCTTATTTTATGCACTATTATCCTCCACTTTGCCTATAAATTGCCTTCTTTTATTAACTGATCAATATTTCTGATAAGTATCAAATGTCTTAGTAGCAGGGTGCTTTAGATTCAATTTTTTGCTAATTGAGGCTATTCTGTTATGCAAAGAATTAGCTTAAATTAATGGGGTGATGTAAATTATGGGGATATTTATTTATAATAATTTAAAATTGTAAATGTTCCCTGTAAATCTTATTTTGTTTGTTTTAAGTACACCAAGGTAACCGTACAGTAGGTATTTTCCAATTCTCCTCCCTCTCTTCCCCTTTGGTTAGCATGCTAGCATACACATGGTTGTCCAGAGCAGCAGTAGTCTTTGTTCTCTCTTCCTGCTCCAATGAACATATTATTGTGCTGCCACCGTCGTGAAAACCAACAGTAGAAGGGCTCCTGTCTGGAACCACCCTCTGCAGCAAAAGCTACGTCAGTGCATAAAAATAACCATGAACATACAGGCACCTGCTGCTATATAAAATATACTAGCTACACGGGCCATTGTAAATGAGTGTAGGGCAAACAGTAGTTAAATACAATTTTTTTTTTGAGAGAGAATGTACTTAAATTCACATTTCTTGTTTTATGAAGGCTCAAGATTTTTATGGTTCCAGTTAAATTTTTCCATGTGTGATCATCTAATGTTCTTACTGAATAAAAGCATAATAGGCTGACATTAGCAGCCGTCATGAGCTAATGTTCTAATACATATTCAGCCTTATATTCTTTTACCTTATGAATTTGCCTAAAATTAACAAGAAGATAAAAAATGCACGACCTCTCTATTGGTCACTTCAGAATTTGCTATAAATGAATACTTAACTTCTCCCCTTCCCTGTGGACTATAAATAATTCAAGAGCATGAATCTACACAAAGATGTCACAAGTCTTTGATTTCATTAAAGATGTACATATTTTGAATTTCTGGTTACAAAATACTATTGAACTATAGTATTTATCTTTTATTCTTTCTCTTTTACAGTTGGAAGATGATGGAAAGCTATTCTATACACTGGATGATGGTCACACCAGATTTACTGATCTTATTCAGCTAGTGGAGTTCTACCAGCTTAATAAAGGAGTGTTACCTTGCAAGTTAAAACACTATTGTGCCCGAATTGCTCTTTAACCAAAACACAGTTAATTCACCAAATAGATAGAAAGGAGATGCTAGAACACTTTTTTTTCCCCCAAGATAATTTCCTAGGTGGAAAAGTCATTACATTGAAATGGTTGTAAATATCATATGGAAAAAAAAGTTTATACTTTCCATATAGAAATACTTTGCACTGTAATTGTCTCCAAAATAACTTTAGTAAAATAACTTCAGAAAAAAAGTCATATAATGTTCCAGTACTTGAAATCTTTTTCAAATAGAATCAGATATTTTTATTATGAAACTTTATTTACCAAAATGAGAAAGGAAGATACCTCCATGTTGGTAATAGATAATTCATAAATGAGTTAATTGCATTCAGAAATACTTCATACACATAATTTCTATTCCACAATCTCAAATATAACATGAACTTTGGGTAACAAAACTCTAGAAGTTGGTTTGTATTTAATTTTGTAAATAAAACAATTATTTTGCACTATATTTTAAATGCTATTTTGTGGCTTACTGTGTTCAAAAATGAAAATATTCTGAATTAATCAATTAAAATGACTTCTAGTATAATGACTAATTTTGGATCAGTTGTATGTATTTCACTAATACTGCTCTAATACTTCTTTTAGGTTTTCTTTTTAAGTAATTACTGGAGCCACTTTATTATGCAGATTTGGAGGTAGTATGCATATGAGCATGCTTATATGTATTTTGTAGTGCACATAATGTGCATGTATATATGTAAATTTTTTTTTTTTACTTATCCATAGACATTTCAGAATACCCAGATTTTAATGTTATATTTTGGAAGGAAGGGTATTTGGAATTCTACTCCCTCCCAAGAGAATAGGTAAACTACATTGTGATATTCTGTTTTTGTTTTTTTTTTAAAACCTATCCAAATGACTGGCTACAGTCCTAATAGTCTCCCGATAATATTGCACTATTGACTAATTTAAAAGCAACTAGTTAGACATTAACTACGTCAAAGGGAGGGCTCTCCCATTGATGCAGGTAGAGTTGCTGACTTGAGTCCCATGACTTGAACTCGAGTCCGACTTAAGTCGCCTAGGTGACTCGACTTTTGAAAGGAGACATCAATTCGGGTTCATTGTTTGTGACTTAAGACTCAACTTGAGACTTGCTAATTTTGTTAAATCGACTTGGTGAATAAATTGTCTGAAAATGCCTATATTGATGGCTTGTACAAAAGTGACTTGACATTTTTAAAATTAAGACTTGAGACTCGGCTTGAGACTTGAACTGTAGTGCCTTGAGACTCGACTTGGACTTGATCATGACGACATGAAGACAACAGTGGATGCAGGTAGCCCTCATTGCCACCAATGGAAGAATTCTTCCATGTATCTAATGTTGTGTAATATGAGGTTATGTCAGCTAACTACATTCCTTGGGAGGAAAGATTTTTCATACTCCTGAGTGATGTAGTTAATCCAGCATAATTTTCTACAGTAGGCCAGGCCTAAGTGAAACAAGATTTTAGAATGTGTATTGAAGATGTTGTCCATCAGCTCATTTAAAATAATTCTGAATTTTAAGGTTTTTGCATCCCCAATACATTCAATTTTTAAATTAAACTAGAAAATAAATTATTTATTATTTAATTATTAAATTTTAATTAAAATCTAAGTTGCTATTGCTTTATTTATGCAACATGTGGAACCCAAATTTAACACTGTATATATGTTTATTTGGGGGCAAACTTTGGTCCAGGGATTACACTGTGAGGAAAAGGAAAAATACCTTCCACATCACTGTCCCAGGAAAACAATGACAACAGGTTGTCATCAGACATGAAAAGCAAGTTGTTAACTTTGGTTCAGTGCTCTCTTTAAGATGAGCACTTGGGTGGCTGACCAGAAGACATTCAAATGCTACCCAGCTGATTAGCGGAATGCCAACAGACAGCAGCATGTGTTTCTACTGGTGATGCACATCTGCACATAATTTATTCTGCACATGAATGGAAAAAATAGAGGGAACACTGCTTTGATCCATTTCATAACAGAAGTGTCACTTTTTAAAAATACCATAATTTGGTACTTTCACTGCTTTTTTCACTGGTTTTTTTTTAACTGCTGTTTTACCTGGGAAGTATTCAAGACAATGTGGTTTTTTTTTTTTTAATTTAAACATTCTAACAAAATAGTCTAAAGGTAAAAAACTATGCTGAGATTCTTCTGAGAATATGAATTCTTATTTTCAAACAAATATATACCTTTTTTTGAATAGTGTTTGCAAGAATTGATAAAGTCCAAGCATTACGAGTAGTAAAATCTAAGTTGGTATTTAATTGACAACACTCTTTATTTTTTAAAATAATTTTTGATAAAATTACTGTGCTAGAAGAACCTAAACAAGTAAAAACTATGGGCATTCCAAAATAGTCTTTAACAGGCAAAGTTGTACAGACTTGTTTATGGAGCTTTCTTAGCCACTCAGAGTTTACACAGGCGGGGGACTGTGCATCATTTTCAGTAAAAGTTGGGAGACTGTATAGTGAATACAATTGATCAATCTCACCCAGGATTTTGGCAGGTGGCCCCTAATTATGTATTTCTCATTTTCTTGGGCACCTAGAAAACATTCCAATCTCACAAGTGCACTCATTAATGTTCGAGACACCCTTTGATACTACAGCTATGACTGTTACACACACCCTCCTGAAAGTGAATTTAATAGTACAGAATTTGGTTGTTGATTAGCTTCTATGATGAGGTAACGGGCTCTGTGGACATGGAGAAGTCAGTGGATGTGATTATATCTTGACTTTAGCAAAGCTTTTAAAATGGTCTCCCATGATATTCTTGCCAGTAACAGTAAGCTAGAGAGAGAGGTAGATACGTTGGAAGGTAGGAGAAGGGTCCAGAGTGACTTAAACAAATTGGAGGATTGGGCAAAAAGAAATCTGATGAGGTTCAAAAAAGACAAGTGCAGAGTCCTTCACTTAGGACGGAAGAATCCCAAGTAGTATTACAGGATGGGGACCACTTGGCTTAAGTAGCAGTTCAGCAGAAAAGGACCTGGGAATTACAGCGGATGAGAAGCTGGGATATGCATCAACAGTATGCTCTTGTAGCCAAGAAGGCTAATGGCACATTAGAGTGAATTAGGAGGCACGTTTCCAGCAGATCTAGAGAAGTTATTCCCCTTTATTCGGCACCGGTGAGGAAACATCTAGAATATTGTGTCCAGGGCCGCCCCACTTTAGAAGGATTATGGATACATTGGGGAGGATCCAGCAGAGGAGAACCAAAATGATTAGGGGGCTGGAGCACATTACCTATGAGGAGAGGTTGAGGGATCTGGGCTTGTTTAGTCTGCAGAAGAGAAGAGTGAGGGGGAGATTTGATAGCAGCCTTCAATTTCCTGAAGGGAGGTACTAAGGACGATGGAGAGAGGCTGTTCTTAGTAGTGGCGGAAGGCAGAACAACGAGCAATAGTCTCAAGTTATAGTGGGGGATGTCTAGGTTGGATATTAGGAAAAACTATTTCACTTGGAGGGTGGTGAAGCACTAGAATGGGTTACCTAGGGAGGTGGTGGAATCTCCATCCCTAGCAGTTTTTAAGTCCTGGCTTGACAAAGCCCTTCCTGGGATGGTTTAGTTGGGATTGATCCTGCTTTGGGAAGGGAGCTAGACTCGATGACCTCCTGAGCAATAATTTCATGGTAGTATTCTATGATTCTAATAGTAAATAAGGTATAGTGACATGCACTAGCTGATGAGAGTAAAAGACAAATAACAAAAAATTATCTACTCCTTTGAGTATGTTTTACTCTGTGCTCTGAGGGATTCTGTGGGGAAAATTTGACTATAAAGACTGTATCATAATACATATGTTCAAAGAAGAGAAATGTACAGGACCACTGTCATTTCCTAACTCTTTTACTGTAAAGTAAAAAAAACTCCAACAATTTTATTAAGATTGTATTTTTTTATTATAACCCACTAGTCTTCAATTCAGCAAAACACTTTGTGCTGAAGTTGAATTGACTTATAGCACATGCTTTGAAGTTAGGCACATTCTGAAGTACTTTGAATCAAGCTTAACTAGGGTTCTACCAAGTTCATGGTCCATTTTGGTCAATTTCATGGTATTTGGATTTTAAAAACTTCATCATTTTAGCTATTGTAGTTCTGAAGTTTTATGATGATGTAATTGTAGGGGGCCTGACACAAAAAGGATTGGTGGAGGGGGTAAAAGATTATTGTAGAAGGGATTACAGTACTGCTACCCTTAGCAGCAGTGCAGAACTGGCAGCAGCACAACCTTCAGAGCTGGGCAGGTAGAGAACAATGACTTCGCCAGAAGCCCAACTCTGAAAGTTGAGCCCCTGCCAGCAGCAATGCCGAAATAAGGCATGGTATGGTGTTACCAGTCTTACTTCTGTGCTGCTCGCTGCAGAGCTGTGTCTTCAATCAGCAGTTGCTGGTCTCTGTCTCTTCAGCTCTTTTGAAGGTGGCAGCACCATAGAAGTGAGGCAATACCATACCATGCCATCCTTACTTCTGTGGCACTACTTTTACAACTGGGTGCCTGTGGAAAAGCTAACACTCACTGGCCACCCAGCTTTGAAGTCAGCATAGAAATAAGGCTGACAATAGCTTGGCCCCTTTAAAATAACCTTGCTGTGAGAGGTTCAAACCTCCCCCCTTTGAAATGTCCCCTGATGAGCTGAGATACCACTGAATCAATCTGGTCTTTCTGCCCCGGTCTCCTTTACCTGGTTTGGCTGGGCCAGGTTCACAAGCCTCCTGTAGTCAAGTACACAGGCAGACACTGAGATCAGCTCTGGGAAGACTCAGCTTAAGGGACTTGCCAGGGCCCCGGGTGTTTGCTTCCCTTGGGGTATGTCTACACTGAATTCCTCTTTCAAGAGAAGAAGGCGAATGCAGCTGAGTGAAATTGCAAATGAAGCACGGATTTGAATTTCACATGCTTCATTTGCATAATAGTGTCTGGGCGCTTTATCAAAATATCCTATTTTGAAAGAAAAAATGCAGTCTAGGCAGGGTTATTTTGGAAAAAAAAAAGCTTAAACCTCATTTTTTAGTAGTAAGGTTACTATTTTGAAGAGTTTTTTTTTTCAAATAACCCTGTCTAGATTGCATCTTTTCTTTCAAAATAGGGTATTTTGAAAAAGCGCCCAGACACCATTATGCAAATGAAGCGTGGGAAATTCAAATTTGTGCTTCATTTGCAATTTTTTTCGGCTGCATTGGCATTCCTCTCTTGAAATAGGAATGCAATGTAGACATACACTTGGAGTACAAACCCAAAATTATATGAAATTCACCTCCTTCCTCAATGTGGGCGGAGGTATGCATAGCTTCCTGCCCCTGTTAGAAAATATATAAGCTGGGTTATATTATAAACAAGTTAAAATACACCTTTTTATAGTTACAGTAATAAACTTAAGTGGGTAAAGGGGATAGCAAAACGAATAAAGCAGATTACTAAGAAAATACAAAGCCAG